GAATCAAGCCAAAGGCAGTACTCTACTCTGGACCCATCTTAAAAAAGGACATGTCTAAGTAAGAAAGAATTGTTTTCATTTACAAACTCAATTTTACTTCCTTTATATGAGAGAGCACTGAAATACATGGCTGTTTCAGAGGTATGATGCTGTTAACGTGTGAAGGTTAACAGGCTAACATGATATTGCTGTTGCAGCAGTATCATGTAAGAAGATGGCTCTATCTTCAAGATAGGCAGGTTTCTTAAACATCTGTTCTTTGCAGAGTGAACAGATAACAAATTTTAAGTGACAGTATGTTCTTTATTCTGTACAGAACAACAATAAAGAACTGAAGAGAACCATCACTATTCTCCAAACTGGTCCTAAGACTGTGTGTGGATGTCACCTTTCAGCTTTAGCATCGCATCTTATACTGTACTTAAAGATACTTAAGATAAAAAGCCTACAGTGAATATGCCCACATACAATTTTGTATACTGCTTGAGATAGCTGAGGCTAGAAAAGAAAATCTATGTGACTTACACTGTAACTTCTTCCCCTAAATGCTGTGTTAGGAAGACTTCAGTACAAAGAGCATACGCTCCTGCGGGGTTTTCAATAACTGACCCGTCATGGAGGCTTTGCAGGCGACAAGTCCATTTGTACCTGCTCCAGGTGCTCAAATAAAATGAGTTTTGAGGAAAGAGAAAACACAAACTACTTTCAATCCCATTATCTGATCCCCTAGTGCCAGCAATCAAGTCCAGGTGCTGTATCATCATTTGACAGTACTTTAATTTAGGAGTATGACAGATCTTTAGGGCTATGTTGCATGCAGCTGCCTTGGCTAGGCAGCTCTCAGTCCAAACAAAACCTGGGAACAGATGGCCCAGGTATCTTTTTTTTATTATTATTATTTAAGTAAGCCTGGGTAAGAAGTTAACTTGTCTCTTGTGGCACCTTGTCAAGGATACAAAGCTTCCCCTTCTGGCTTTCCCCACTCCATCACAGCAGCTGGATGATGTATTTTAGGTGAGTGCTGACCTTGGTTTGCCACTGCAAACAAACCTCACCTATCTGTTCTTACCTGACTAGCACTTAATCACATAGCATTCTCAGCATCTTTTCTCTGTCCTTTTTCACTGAGTTTTGTTGGGTTTTTTGTTTTTACATTTCCACAAAATAGGAACTGAACATGTAAGTACTTCTACATATTTCTCTGCTGCTTCTTTAAGCTAGAAGAACTCTCACCTTGTTACTGTTTATGACAGTTGTTCTTCCTACCACAGAACATTATCACACATTATAGTTAAGCCAGATACTTTAATAATTCAGCATAGAGCAATTCATACTCATGTCATTTCAATTCCTCCATTTTAAATTCATATGACAGTAATATCTCATTCAAGAGTCAGGCTTTCTTCTGCAGATAAGGACAGACTCATGCCTGCCTTGGAAGTTCTCAGTATTACAATCTTTCCTTATTAAACTTGCTAAGTTTTTTACTTCAAAAATAAACATCTTGATCACTGCTGTCTTATGACTTCTAAGCACAAATAAATTTTTATTTCCCCTGGAACTCAATACAGATACCTTATTGGCAGATAAATAAGCTTTTTCCTCTATTTATTATTTTGTGTTCTGCCATTTATTTCTGCTGTTACTTAACTGCTGCTCTGAAAAAGTCTTCAGTGCCGCAGTAGCTAATAGCGATAATACCATCACTATCGTTCCCACTACCCTCAGTACTTTAAACCACCTAGGATAAGGAGGAAGAAGGGAAACATCATAATGTAGTGCTATCCCTAAAGCCATTATTAGCATTACTGCACCATGAGTGACATCTTTAAAAAGCAAGGCTTGCCAGGCAAGTAGAGGAGGAACTGTACTGTTAGCCAGATTCAGCCAGTCTGGCTTGGCCGGGCTGTCTTCTGGAAGAGCAAACCCCCACCTCATTCCTCCTAGGAAAGAGACTGTTACAGCACCATACAGAATCTGAGCAAACGCCAGCTCTGGGTAGTAGGTCCCTTGGATGGCCATTGGCAGTGGCACAGAAACAAACGGAATTAGCCCTGCAAGGCTTAAGTAGAGGGCTGGCTTTGGAGAATCCTTTAGTGATTTCATACTTTGTTTCAATATGCCCAAGTCTTTGGTCTCAGATTCCTTGGGGGTTTTCTTCTTGAAGAAGGGAAGAGAGGTATGAAAAGCCTGGAGTTTAGTTGCATATACTGATGGTGGGCTGAGGTGTGGAGATCTTGAGAGAAGACACACATCTCTCCGCAGACAGAGGCTGAGAGAAGAGCAAGTTGTCTTATTCTTTCCATATCGCAGTAGTAGTCTGGGACCAGTTAACGTCTGGAGCTGCAATTGTAAAACTTGTTCTCAACACCTTACAATACAGGCTTACAGTTCTACAGTTACCTAAACTACCTATGAAATGTGCTACCAATTAGCTTTTCAAGTCAGGTCATATCACAGCTGCCCCTCCTCTTGGTTTTCTAGTGTTTTTACCTTAACTAATCAAGCCAACTGATGCAGCTTTCACAACCTAGCTGATGAAGAGCAACCAGGCTCTTTGCAGTGAATAAGCAAACCTTACTCACTACAGCAGGTTTGTGTATCCACCTATCCTCCCACCCATGCATGCATTCTTGAGGCATTATGTATCAGTCCTTTTCACAGTAGAGTATGAAATTATTACAGAAGTAGGACAAGGTCACCCCAGGAACCAGCTACTATCCCCTCACCACTCCATCAAAAAGAAAAGAGGAAAAAAAGACCTTTAGACAAAAAAACATACATTTTTCTATTTTACTTTTAAAGAAATATAAACAGCAAAGGCAGCTGCAGAAACTTACTTTGAAAGGTGTGTGGAAGCAGCATCGTTGTATGAGAGGAAACATATTTGCTTTATCAAGGCCCTAAAACAGAAAAATTCAGGAGAAGGTCTGAATCCGATGAACAGCTGAGTTTGGGTTATGTCCAAAGTTCAGTCAGGGTCCAGGCTTGTTTGTCAGATGTGAGACCCACAGATCTCTATTTAAAAACAAACGTTTTACATACTCAATCCTTACTTACCCACCACAGGGTATGTTGTTTCTGGTAGCTCTGTAAACTGAGGTTCTAAAGTTGTAATACCGTGAAAAGAACAATTTCTAGTTAAAGAACCCCGCACTGGGAATCAGGCGATGCTGATGGGTCATCTCCTTCTCACGGGCAGCCGACAAACGACCGGTTCCTTACAGGTGGAAAACACAGTCCGTGAGCACGGAAACTTCCTCCCACCCCAAACTGCAGATAAGCGACCTGGGGTGGATAAAACCAACCGGGCAGGTGAGCAGCTCGCCGCTGGACCTGACTCCCCGGTTCACGCTCCGGCTGCTCCGGGGAAGCGGGGCG